TGATAACGATAGGAATTTCTTAACTGCTTCTGACAGTGGCACTTTAATCGCTGTAGTAATACAGGAACGATGTTGTAGAAAAGCTTATAACGTATTGACATTGTTTGTGGCCAGGTTGTGTTTATTTTTTCACGGCTGTAACGCGTCTGATCATCTGAAAAAAAAGACGTTTACCGTTTTTGTTAGTGTATCACTTTTCAGCATAAGAAGACAGTCAGAGGACTGTAGTCTAGGGAAGAGAACAACCAACGGATCGTCATACGTGAGGATAGGAAACTGAAGCATTTGTTGATGACGCTTGTATTTTACTTGTTTGAGCAAGAACTTCTTTTGCTGCATAAACAGTACACCTTTGTTGCTTTATCCTAGACTTCGTAAACTGCTGATTGGTTTCTGAGCAATAGCGTCGTATGGTCCGTATTAATCGTTGGGTCGACCTCTAAACAGCCAGATAAAATGTTCGCTCAAACAGGTCATTAGTTGCTTATAATGCTAATAAAATCAAGTGCCTTTTACTGACATATCAAAAACAATCAAAAAAAAGGTTTCTTAGTTAGAGTCTCTAAACTTGGCTGATTACTTGTCATTTACGAAATATTAGAGAATTAGAGAATGTTTTGACTTGTAAACGAAGAATTTTAGTGCATCAGTTATTTTCAGGTAAAAAGATCAGCTGATCACTCAGAAGTTTCTTAAGACATTACCTTTTAACAAATAATTCCGTTTTCACCAATTTACATCACTTTATCTCTTCGCAAATCTTTCATTCTGTTCTGCCTGTTCAGCCTGTCAGTTTTATTTATCATTTTGTAGCTTCGTTCCTCTCTTTTTTCTCAAAATTTTTTTCTGATCTTAACTTCATTTTTTTTTGTCTTTACTGGTTACAATGCTTTAAAGTCATTACAGTTTCTTTCAACCGGTAAATGAAAAGTAAGAAACAGTGAATACTAGCAAGCTTACGGCTTTGTCGCAATTAGCGACTGGTAGAAACTCTCCTTCAACTATCTGTACAGCTGTAGGTGTAACGCGAACCGAGCGTACGCTAAAAAACATGTGAACAATTGAAGGAAAAGTGTGAATGAAACATTAAAAAGTTTCCAAAGTTTGAGTTCTCATCGACCCGTGATGACTACCAGTGCCTCTTCTGCTAAGTATTTATGAGCGGAAAAAAAAAAACAAGTTAGATTTAAGAAAAAAATTTCAAGCGATGCTTCGTTTGAATGAAATTAATGATTGTCGCGATAAAGGGAAAGAAGTTGCAGTTAAATGTCGAAGCAAAGAAAGAATTAAAAATTCATTTTTGTTTATCTCACCGAACCCTATAATTCGAACAGACTTTTACAAATACTACCAAATATTAAAGAGAAATTTTTTTGGTTTAAAGAGCTATTTTAATCGCGTTGAGTACGTTGGAGCAAAAGAAACGGACCTTACCGGACAATAAACGACATTGTAATCTACATTGCTCGCATTTACCCATTTGCTCACCTTTAATTAATCTAAGTTGCTGCTTTTGCTCAGTGATGACCAGCATTTTTTCCTTTTTTATAAGTTGTGAATTAAATTAATCTTTACTGTCAACAAAAATATTTAATCCTGCATTGATTTCCCATAGATTAACTGACTTCCTTTCAGTCTTCGCTGTTGTTAGTAGTATATTAATTACATTCCATTGCTCGAAGATAACGTCTTTGCCGCCTTCTTTCTCTTTCCTTCCTTTATTCCTTTTCACTCCATACAAAAGTGAAAATTTGTTGACACGGCTACGCCGGAATCGTCATTTACTGCAGTTAAGACTTTATCAACACTGAGAGGACTTTACCCGCTGCTGAAGTCGGGGCGAAGTGCTTATCCCTAAAAAACTCTCAAGGAGCCGTGAGGGATGAAAAAAAATTTTATCCTCTGAATCAAAACTGAAAAAAGTGCATAGATATTTTCAAAGGGCATAGAATTTTGCATTTTGTGGACTTCCGCTTTGAGCGATGTGCCGTGAAACAAGTTTCTAAAGAATTATTGATTTTCTGTTCTCTCTTTGAAAAGTTTGAGTATTTCTAATTCACTTCTTAAGCTCATGATTAAGTATTTGGAAATGCAGCGTTCGTTTGTCTATAACTTCTTTCTTGCGATCACAATGGATCATGCGAACGTTAATTCTGTCCTAACTTGGCTGATCTCATTGGCATGCGCGCATACGCAGCAGCGGGAAAATCAAAAGATAAACTTGGGCTCACTGCTGCGTAAGAAATTCCATATTCTAAATGAAACATTAGCAAATGTTTCTGAAATAATTTTGTTTCAAGTCTGATGAAACAACTGTCTCAACTTAGTAAAGCCAAAGGATTTTCTTCCGTAGTTCAAAAACTGTGAGAATTTTTCTGTTTAGACAACATCATTTACTGTCGCATCGTGACTTTCCAATTGAGGTAATTGGATTGCTAATCAGCTTGAAAGATAGGAGAACTGAACTCCTTATCGGTGTTTAAAGCCGCTAATAAAATTGAACAAGGACTCCACTTTTTAGAAAGACCTTTAGTTGCCTTCCCTCAAAATAAGATTTAGTTTTAGCTAAGGAAAAGAACAAGCAGGCATATAATCAACAAGTCCCTCATATCAATCAAAATGTTTGTCAAATCTCTTAACAAAAACATTTTAGGGCGTCTAAAGTGAAAGTTCGTAATCGCTTACTAAAATTTTCAAGTTTTATAGGGAATTCGGAATCAGTCTCAAATCTGAAACCACATCAGAAACTCGACATCGGAATTATTTGTTTAAATTTTTGGTTTTTCTATGCCCCCGATCACTATCTTGTCTGAGTGATTCACTGCTTTCAAATTTCCAAGTATTCACAAATTTCAGTTATGTTAGCAGTAAAACACGTTGATTTGCAGTACCATCATTTGCAAAAAACGGTTCATGAATACCTGCTTAAAGACAGGAGGACAGGCACACAGAGCGAATTCGGAACTGTCTTGAGCTTGGAATGGAGTCTGACAACTTCAAATTCTTGAGAAGTCTTTTTTTGAAGTTAGGAGGAAGGCGGATATTTTCTGAATGGAGGCCTATGAATGGGACAATAAAAGCAGCACCGGCTTTGGGAGGTAGAAGGAAGGGAAAAATAATGTGTATCTCAAAAAAAGCCTTATCTTCTTGTAGGCCCCACTCTTTGCCATTTACCTGCTGCCCTCCTTCAAAAAGTGGCTTTGTAAATCATAAACAAGCTTTTCAAATAACGTATCCTGACATTCTTCCTGTGTGATATTCGTTTCCAGTAGTATATATTTTTCGCAATTTCTTGGAGCCTCGTGCAAATTTTTTTTTCATAGATACTATGACTTTTTGTCAACTCATTATTTTTTTTATATTACAGCAACAATTTTAACTCGGAAGTTGAAGTTTGCTTCACGTCAACCACAGGAGGATTTTTCATCTTTATACAGGAAAATTGGAGTTTTTTGCGCAGAAGTTTCTTCTGTTTAAGGGAGAAAAGCAACCCAATTAGACCCAAGAAGAACTAAAAATATGGTTTTTTTTTTGGATAAAGTTATTTACAATTATCAATTTTCCTTTACAAAATTTAAATTGCCCTTCTCTAAAACAGCAGACGAAAACCTACAATGAGTGTGATAAGTAGTTCAAGAATCTCAGTACAAAAGACCCTCGCTTAAACTTAATTAAACGCAAAAATTTGTACTCAGCTGTGTACCTGAGCCAAGCTTTCAGGTTTATTCTGCAGCTGTCCGATGCGGAATCCGCAGAGCCGCGCCTTGAAAAGATGCCTTATGCTTGCCGTAAATGAATTCTTCTATTGAGCGCAGTAGGCGGTATCCGTACAGCGCAACTGTTCAGAACATATTCTTTCTCATGGCTTTTTTGGAAGTTTTTAAAATAACCTGGTTAATATTCTCTGAAAATCTCTTCAGTCGCTTTATCACCGAGCACAGAAATAAAAAAAATGACTGAACCAATGAAGATTCTTTAAAGCATCTTACTGAAGGCAAATTCAGATACCGTGATTATTTAGCTTCAGCACCCTGTTTCTTCTGCCCTACTGTCTGTCATGAACTGCATTCAGCGCAAAAACATTCCCAGTAACAGCGAGGCTGAAGACGCTTTCTTTCCAAAGGAAGATTACTTTAAAGACAACATGCCTCCCTCAAAAGCCAGAATTATTCATCGGCATTTAAATTAGCTTCAGTCTTTGCAGCATCTGCCTGTAACGCCAATGAAACAAAATTGTAGTATTTCCTTGTAAAGGCTTTTTTATTTCTCGTATTTTTTTGCTGGGTTACACGTCTTGCGTCAACCAGAAAAACAGACTTAGGAGAAAATATTTTTTTTCTCTCCTCTTTTCGCCTCTTAGTGGAGACTTCAGGACAAGAATGTAGGGCAAACTTGGGGAAAAGATGGGAAAAATGGCTATTCTTTTGTAGGAGGACGGGAGGCAACCTAACAGACTTTCGAACTCATTGCTGTGTCTCTCACTTCTTTGCTTGAAATGTATCGAGTTCATACCAATTTTTTTCTTTATTCCAGACCTTCAAAATAAAAATTTTCAACTTGAATGTCAGATCACGCTTTAAGAATATGCGAGTTATTATTAACTAAGTGAATAAAAACTAGCTCAAACCGAATAAAAGAAAATAACTGCTTTTTGAGGCAGAGCCTTACAGGTTCTGAGCGTCACACGTTTCAAAACTGTTTTTGCGCAGGATATCCACTCCTGCTAAAATTCACTTGAAAGTCCCGAGAACGTGTGACGTTGAAATTTTGGCCTCATGCCTATCCTGTATGAAACAAAAGTGGCCTTAAATTAAGAAAAAATCCTTCCTCTCTAGCTGTTGGTACTGGAGACAGTGCTTTTTAGCTCCCAGCAGGACAGTTGCTTTTTTACAACAACATTGACAGGTTGCAAAGAAACTGTTTGCATATGAACCCTTTCTGATACTTATAAACTGGAAAACCTTGTTTGTTTGTTGATTGCAGATTCAGTATTTGGTGATATGGAATTAGCAACTTCAACTAAGTGGGAATTGGCCTTACAACCTCCAACAGTTGAAGAATTGCAGAAGAACATAGGCGATGTGTTCAACGTTAAATGGATTAAATACATGTATGCAAATTTCAAAAATGTATGTTATTTTCTTTATCATTACTGAATTGTCATTGTAAGATTTCCTAGACAAACTAATATACCCTCTCTTCCTTTGGGATTATGCTGCCACTATCAGCGACAGTTCGCCCTATCTTTACCCGAAAAAAAGTGTAGTGACCTCCACTACTGTTTAGAAAAAAGTTCTGTCTCAAAGCAATCAAAAAACGAATGTTACCACCAAAGTAAGGAATAAAACACTTGCCACAAAAGTCTCATCAGTATACCTATACGCCTTGTAATTAGTTGAAATGTGTAAAACAATACCCAACAGGATTATCGACAGTGATATTAAAGTAATCGGAAAAATGCTTCTGAGAACCATGCTGTCACTTCAGTGTTTGTTTGAATTATTGGAATTTCCCATAACACCGCTACCACTCTCCCAGTATATATTAAAAAACTATATATTTAAATACCTGCGTTATGCGCTCGCTAAGGTATCATGGAAAAAGATTTAGGAATGTCCATCAGGTAAAATGCATTTTGCGGCATTTAAAAATCTATTTTCTCCACATTTACCTACTGGTGTCAGTGATGAATATATCAAACGACTGTTCTTCGCATTCTCCTTCGGACACTGTGAAGTTACCTTTCAGGTAAAAGAAAGTATGTTTGAACCATCTATCTAAAAAAACCTCTTTGTTGTTCGGGTTGTTTCCCCTTTCTGGTGTTTTTTGTAAGAACTTTACTGATAAAAGCTTTACTCTAAGGCTCTACTGGAAGCGTTGGCCATGCTTCGAAAATCATCGGCAATAACGCAAGCGAAATGGACGATGAGACTAATATCGGGCAGTGAAACAAAGCCAGTTTGTTATGAGGTTAATAAGAAGTCAATTTAAGTTTCGTTATTGTAAAGAAGCAGTACCTTTTGAGGATTTTCCACCAGAAATGTATAGTTGTTTTATGCTTTTTTTTCTTCATAACGTTAACCATTTAAGCTGCGCTGCCGATACTTCCTAAAGTATATCAAAATAAAGTTTTACTATTCATTCTCCAAAATTCCTGCTCCTGCTTCACTATTTTAACTTTCCAATAAAACAACTTTTCCAACCCAAAGATTTTTACTTTTAAACAACTAGAACGCTAAATTTGTGTATTTTTTAGGAATTTCTAGGTTTCGTGCGGTCAATTTTTGTCCGAAAAGAAACAGAAAATCGGAACTTGAAGAAAGGTTCTTACAAACTTGAAGAGAGTTTGGCACTGAATAAAGTGGTTGAGAGAAGAGCCAGACACATATTTGCGGTTAGCGTTAACGATCTGCCAATGACCAATCTTTGTAACTGTAACTTAAGGCAAAAAATACACCTTATCGGCATTAAGCTTTAACTTTCAAAAATCAAAAATAAGGGAATTCTTTTGATGTCAGTACATTGATAATTGCGAAATAGAACTTAACCACCAAAATCCTTACCACTTCTAAGTTACAACACCGAAAATCAACTGTTTAAAATCCTGCAGTATAAAATTTAACAGTATTTGTGCAACAAAATTTACCTCCTCCACTTCCCCACTTAACTTTAGTGCTCCCGAGCATATAATACACACATTTTTTCAGACCTTAGATAGAAATGAAGACGGTTTAATTGACACGGAAGAATTAATTGAATTTTTTAAGGTTAGTTGTTTGCCACTAGATCTCTAAACCCACGACAACCTCACTCCTCTTACACAGCTGACAAAAAATTAATTTTCAGGGCGACGGGCGAATAAATGTACAACGTTTGATTGGATCAGGCAGGACAACTTGTTAAGCGTACGTGACGTTCAGACCTCAACAGTTTTTCTTTTTAAATTGGTCTGTGTCCAATTGAAAAAAAACGCAACAGCATCCACTGCAGAACTCGATTGAAAAACAAAAGGTGTTCAGAAAGATGCTTTTTACAAGCACCAGTACATATGGCCATGAACGCGTAGAGGATTTCGGAGATGTATTTGTGATTTTTATCAATAAATCAAATGAAGATACAAAAATAATTAATCACCAAGAAAGTATTCCGAATTACATGATATTCAGATCTTACAAAAGCTCAGTTTTCACAACAATTCAAAGGTCTGTAGTAGATTATTCAAATCGTAATTTCAAAAGCTCAGAGTTACGAACATAAATGAAGAGAAAGACTAAGAAAGCACGCACTATTGAGCGAGCACCAAAAAGATTACTAAAAAGAAAAAATCCATGAGATCTAAGCAACATTACAAGAAACCTAAAAAATAAAGTGGCTGCAATAGAAGCCATTTGTAAGCTCGATATTGAAGATATATAGATACACACCAAAACAAGTGCTGTCCAATAATTTTCCACCAGGAGAAATAAACTACAATGCCTTTTTCGCCCTCCGCAAAACAGCCCTTCTTGTAATAATTTTCTAAAGCAAAAAAATAAGAAACTGATAAATGAAGTGGAGACTTCTATATCGTCATAGAAAAAACTGAAATTCATTTGGGATTTTTCAATTTCTAATTGAAAGCAGAGCTAGAGCCCCGAAGAGCCTTGAAGAGTACAAGCAATTTTTACAGAAACACTCACTCAGCATCGCATCTTTTTCTTCATAACGTTTATACATCCAACTGCGCAGTTTTTCATCATCGTGAAATGGAACCTTAAAAAACCATTTGAAAAAGTTTGAATGTAAAAATGAAACAAAGGTTTCCAAAAAATACAGGAAGTTTCTTCAGAACAACTTCCTTCACCAATTCTTTTCCTTTTTAGATGCAATCCTTTCTCTAACAACCCCGTCCTATAAAAAATTATAAATCAAGATAGTTTCAAAATTTTTCTATGACCAAAAAATATAAATCTGCAACAAAAAATATCTCAAAACAATACCTCGCTAGCATTGAAAATTTTGTAGTTGACCGCAATATTACATTTTTCTCTAGTTCCCAAGCATAAGGTAAAAAGACTCAATGGTAAACCATACGGGTATGCAATTGTCACATCCAACACATATTTTATTGGTGGTTTCGTATCTAGAAACACATCTTGAAAACTATTTTCTGGTACTGTTTAAGGATGATTAGACCGTCAGTACTCTTTTCCTTATTGTGATGACTCATAAACACTTGTAGCAAAAGAAAAGTGTTCCTCATCATTTCCCCACTGTTATTGATTAACAGAAAAAACCATAATTACGAGAACTTCATCAACTGTTCAAAAGAGATGCAGAAATCAGAACTATTTTTTTCTTCATGAAAAATGTGATCTGCTGCAACTGGAAACGTTCTACTTCCTCTGTCTGCCACCAAATTCCTCAAAAGTAGGCAGTGAACATGAATCGTTCTAAACCTATACAACCACTTTTTTGTGCAAAGTGGCGTCACTAATATAAATGCCACAAAATCAATAAAGGAAATTTACGTAATTGCTTTGAAAATTTGTATCGTTCAATAATGAATAGAAATTAGTTCAATAAACACAACAGTAACATCTATCCACTTTCAAAATACCCACTTAAATAGCAAAAATTAGTATGAAACGCTCTTTTAGTGACAGGTCTGTAGAAAAGTTATTTGGGAGAGTACTACGTAATAATCAGGCTCATTCGCATTCGTCGATAAAGAAGGTGCTATGAAAATCATTTGGTTTCATACTTGTCTCTCCCAGAAAGTAGAAGACGGTCTGTTAAGAACTCTGTTATATTTAAAATTAATTGGAACTGCCTCACCTCTGTCAGCTAACTGATAAGGCAAACAAATTATACACTTATATAGGGCCATAATACAACAAAAACTGATTCCTATCGCGCTAAATACAATCCTTCTCTGTCCATCTATTCCTCTTCAGATCAAAACTCTCCAAATTCTTCTTTTACGTCTCAATCACATTTCATCGATGTTTTTCTTCTGCTCAAAACATACAAAGCGAGAACATCAAAGGCTGTGTATATTTTGGAATTAACTAGCGGTGTTTAAAAATTCTAGCACAATTTCGGTACCCAAAGACAACATAAATTTATTCGTTTTCACTTGCCTGGATTTCTAAGCTAACAAAAGTGAAGCCTACATCACAATTAATCATTCGGTCATTTGCAGTGACTGAACCTGAATGTTTCATTTCATAATTCATCAAAAATAGTAACAAAAACTAGCCAGCTTAATTTATCCTTCCTTAAGCAAGTAGTAAATTAGATAAAATTCTGATGCGAGCACTTCAAAAAATTTTCATCCCCTGTTTATTAAAAACATTTTTCTGCAAAAATATCAACTTTTGTCTGATAATTGTGTTTTGCTATCAACATTTATCTCATTTTCACCCAAAACTTAAATAAAAAACCTCCCACTTCTTATTTTACCAGAAAAGGAGACTAGAGCTTCTTTTGAAAAAAGACAAATATCAGCAATTATCGACGTCAGTTACATATTCTTATGAAGTAATTTGCAGAAGTTAAAGGTGGAGAATCCATAGATGCCAGTCCAAACATTTTAAGGAAGGACTATTATAAAACTAACAAACTTTGTGTAAACTGCAAAAATAAATAGCCACTTTTGAACATTCAGAAAAAAAAAAATAGTAGCAATTTCAAGACATAATGAATAGTATTCTTAACGCAGTTTTTGCGAGTTCAAGACAAATCACAAGACAAAAGCATTTTCTATTGAACTAGTAACTAACATATAAAGTTGATACTAAAAAGTTTAGAATGAACTGATTTTAGCAAAAAATAACAAACGGTGCGGTTACAGTTTCAAAGACAAACAAATACTCTATGACGAATTTCATGACAGGATTACTTCTAATCATCTAACACTTAAATCATTTAGAAAAAGCTATCAACTGCACTAGATTTCACAGTCCCAAATAAAAACTATCTCTGTTCTAAATCTATTACTTCTGCTTTGCAGTTTTGGAGTTCACTAATATCAGAAGTGAAGTACACGAATGTGCAACCCTTAAATCAACTTCAGACCAACTGGATATAATTTTTAAAAAAAATGCATTAGAGGACGAAAAACAACTCACCCGGTACCACTAATTCTGGTCATTAGAAACCTGGCACCAAGTTGAGCTCAACCATACGAAAAAAAAATCTATTTTGCAGAATGAGGTCGTTGAAACATAAGTTATAAAGATTTCTAAAGTTCTGCATTGGTTAAAAAAATTTTTCTATACTACATATTATCCAAAATAGACTAGCAGCACATAAGAACCTACTGTTTTACTACTTTACAAAAAATGAGTTCTAACAAATTAGAAGTTAGACTTGAAAAGTGCATTTCTGCAAGGAATTCTGCTGTCCTCCAAGCTGCTTCATAAGCAGCAATGAGCATTTTGAAAACTTATAACTTTATTTAGGGTTGAAAATTTTCTGATTGAAAAGCACTCACAAAAACATAAAATATAATAATCTCATTTGAAACCTGCTTTGCTGCAAAAAACTCTTTGTTAGAATAAATTAATTTTTAAAAAATTACTCAGAGGAAATTAATTTTACAATGATAGGTAGGCTGACCTGGTTCAAAAGATTTATGAGCCTTAGTTTGGAGTATGCTAATTATACGCACGAAACTTGAGATGTATTTATCAGTACCACTAAAAGAAAGATTAAACTGCCATTGTTCGTCATCCAGAACCTATACTTGAGAAAAGGCATTATATAACGTGCAGCCGAAAGGCACAAAGAATTCTAAAGCCACTTAATACTGCCAACGTAAGTAGACCGAAACCCTCTATCCACATTTCCGAAATCAAAACTTTTTCATGAACTAAGATCTTTAATACACTCGCTGTCTTCAGAGTCTCATAGCGGAGTTTACAACAAAAGAACAAGATTTCTTGCCAAGCAAGAATGATAAAAATTTAAAAAAGGAAGTATGTAAATGCTGCTGAACCTAAGCTACTCGATACGTTTAAAAAAGGTCGCTCCTGAATGTTCAATAGCCTACGTAAAAAAAAGCAAATTATGTTCCGACAAGAACAGATAAAAACCACATTTACCTTTCACATATTTCTTTTCCCTTATTGCACCAACAGTTTCCTTCAGCAATTGCAACTTACTCATACTGTGAGTTTTCATAATTTTCTCCTCATCACTTTCCTCTCGGGGTCCCACTTCTTCTAATATCGCTTTGATTGCTCCAAATCTAGGAAGGGTAGTATATTCCAAGAACGGATAACCATGCTTCAACCCGTACCTAAACACTAGGAGTCCATGAGCTCAATTTCACAAAGTCTTGCAGCAAGACCAGATAATATCGATAAAAATTTTAAAAAGTGAAGTTATCAGATGACTCGACTTCTAAAACTTCAAAAGACTGAATGATCACTTCTGACTGTCCTCAATACGTTTGTAATAGAACCCTCCTTCAGGAAATAAAATAATCCATCTCCTGTCTCGGTCCCAGAACACTTTGCGCAAATGCTCCTTTAATCTAAACAGCTCTTTCTCGCGAGTCGCTTTACCCTGTCTAATGAAATAATCACCGTGCATCTGAGCGATCACTCCAAATGGAGTCCATCGAAACATCACATCCATTAGCCACAAAGTCTGAAGTTTACGCTAGATAAAGAAATGAATAAATTGTAAATTTCTTTCAAAGCCCAAAAGTCAAAAAACAATAAAGGCGTTAATAAAAATTGACAACCAAACATCATTACGTAAGATAAAATTTACACCTCAGATACGACTGTGTGTTAGCTTTTGTTATAACAAGATCGTAACACTCAAAATACCTTCCTACTAGCAACGCCTTTACTCTGCAAAACCACCATCAAAGTGGGGACATCTGCTGTGCTTTGATGATTGCATATTAGAAGGACTCTCTCATTTATGTATCCACTCAGGTCATCGCCATATTCAATCACTAAAGTTGACCAGTCTACTCTAGGATGAATAGATCATAATAAGAAAGTTTATCACCTTACAAACCTTATTTCTTTAAAAAAAGGTGAAACTGTCACTAAAACAATTAATAAATGAAGCAATAATGGTAAAAAATCATTTATCACAGTAAATACAATGACCGATTCTGTGTAAATTAAGTTTCTGTTTCAAAAAAAAATTTTTTTAACCACATAGCACTAGAACTTCGGAACAGAGAATTAAATAGAAAGGTAAAATATTGCTGTCAAAAAGTAAATGCCGACATATAAAAATCAAGAAAAAAACCAAGAGTAACAAAACGGCAAATTAATAAAATTAGATGGTTAAAAGACGAGAAACTAAGCAAAACTCTTACTGACCGTCATAGCCTGCCGTATAACACCAATAAGCCACAAAAGCCTGCAACCAACGGTATAACTTCCCCTCGTAAAACCAGTAAAATCGAGGCCTAAACCGAAGTTGTCAGAAAACAACAGGTTATGAGGTTCAAAAGAAGTCAGATTTAGGGCAACGATCTCGAGAAGCAAGATAATAAAATCCAGGTGTTACCACACAAACTTTCCAAGAAGCATTGGAATCATAAAGCCGAAATAAGCAAGAATAAATGCAGTGACATTGAAAAAACATAGCATCGTACGTAAAGGAGCTTTAATCAACCAGAGCACTCTGAAAAAATTCAAGGCATACAGATTAAACAACAAAATGCAAGATCGAGCAAAAGTGTGTTAACTAGTCAATTAGGTTTGCATTCTTTTGAACAAATGAAAACATTAAAATTATTTATCAATATTCTTTGAAATATAGGATACAAACAAAGTGTCGAAGCAATGAAAAAGACGCCTACTTATGCATTGTTAAAGCTGGAGAAGCTAAGATCAGAGAAGTAAAAAGGAATACCTTTCTTAATTAAACGCTTAACCGTCAAGCTTTACCATAAAAACGTTTTATTACAATCAAAAAGCTGCACAGCATGACCACTAAAAACAAAAGCTACGAAAATTACGTTAAAATACGCGTAAAACGGCACAGCTTTTTCACACCACATTCTTGCTAAAACGTAACCTTAACGTCACACATGAAAGACAACACGAGGACATAGAGAATCAGCCTCGCTAGAAAAGAAGAAACTCGCCCAAAACTAAATACGGCTATTGCATATGATTGGAAAGGTGTGACTAGTCCTGATTACTGATAATAAAAACAAAGAAAACAGAAGAAAACCACACCTTTCCGAGTTAGACAACTGAGACCAAGCAGATCGATCTCCAGGTATTCGTTCATTTTCCCCGATCATCTGTTACGAGAGTCTAGTTAAAAACCAGAAGATGGGATCTGCAAAGGTCTTAAACGAATGCTTCAGCTAAAAAGTAATAAACAAGAAGAAGAAATGCCGATTTTATAAAGGAACAGGCCAATTCTACCGACGCCTTTCAAAAACAAAACAAAGACTCAGCATCCTCAGTTTCATTCAGCAGCCGGCACAGAACCGTTAACAAAAAACAAATTCGTCTAGTAAAATCGGTTTGCAAAAGCTGGAATATTCACTACGCCAAACCACATAATGAAGTAAAATCAGTGAAAAATCCACCACGCAGGACAGCTCAATCAAAGAGAAAAACTCGTTGCATACAAGCGTACTTGCGAAATGCGAGCGTTTCGTATTAAAATAAAAAACATCTACCCCAGAACAACTTTTCCCAACGTTTTTATTCACTGCGATGTTCTGGACCTCTACCAAGTGCTTCACAAAACCACAAAACGACGCCCTCTATGCCAAAGTTTAGTTTTTATCCCTCCAAACACATCAAATTTAACTGATTTTAAAAGTGACCTTCAAATTCATGTAAGTGGAGGCTTTCTCTTTCGCACCACCATTACAAACAATGACAAAATTTCAATCAACCTTAAAAATCTACTACAGTTTGTTAGCAATTTTTATATATTAAACCTCAACAACAACCAAATAATATATAATACATAATAAATTATATATA